ATCTAAGGAAATGTGACTGAAGGGAGTGGTGTCTTTGATGGCCATGATTCTCCTGTCCTTGTGCTGATTCTGTGCAGCCAGAAAGGCAGGTGTTAATCACTCTGCATTTTATTAATCCAATGTTCTAGTGATATACAATACAAAAAGTACAAAAAGTAGAAAGAAACAGGGAGGGATACACCTTCCCTTGTTACCTGGCTTCTGCCAGCTGCTAGAATATCCTAAGCTAGGTATTATACAACCATAGCAGGGGTGCTATTCAGCAGGTTCTGACAGGTTCTGGAGAACCGGTAGCGGAAATTTTGAGTAGTTCGGAGAACTGGCAAATACCACCTCTGGCTGGCCCCAGAGTGGAGTGGGAATGGAATTTTTGCAATATCCTTCCCCCAGGAGTGGGGTGGGAATGGAGATTTTGCCGTATTCTTCCCCTGCCATGCCCATCAAGCCACGCCCAACAAGCCACACCATGCCCAATAAGCCATGGCCACAGAACCGGTAGTAAAAAAATTTGAATTCCACCACTGAACTGTAGTCTATTGAATCAATGTGTTTATATATTCTAGCTTTAAAAACTAAAACAAAACCACCGAGTTTAGTAGGGCTGATAATTGATATTCTTGCTGTTATTCTAACAATTTATTGGAATTTTTTATTTGGCTTACAAAGCTATATATCTATTCCCATTAAATATTGTAATCCCTATAATCCCTAATATTGGATTACAGATGAATCTAATTAATAAATTAATAAATTGCCCATCCATTGCCTAGTAATAAGAAAAACACCATTGTTTTGGAATCATAGTAGAGCTCTGTCAGAGAACAGGTAAATTAAGCTAGTTCAGCAGATCAGCGGATCAAATCTCACTGGCTCAAGGTTGACTCAGCCTTCCATCCTTCCGAGGTGGGTAAAATGAGGACCCAGATTGTTTGGGGTAATATGCTATTTAGTGTACTGTCTTTGGTATAAGCTGCCCAGACTCCTCGGAAGGTGGGCGGCATAGAAATATGACTAATAAAATAAATAAATAAATAAAGTTACCTATTAAAATAGTTTTTTATAATTCATACAATTACTTAAATTCAAAGTAATCATAAGCCTACTCGTAATGACTGGCTTATTTAATAAAGGTGTCTAATTTAGTAAACACTATGTTTCAATGACCTAGCCCAATATTTCTCAACCTTGGCAACTTTAAGATTTGTGTCAGCACTTTAAGCTGCATTTACTCTAGTGCTGACATAAGAAGGAGAAGCGGAGGCGTCTGGAAAGGGACGTTTGACTTTTCACCTACTTATTTTCCCTGGAGATAATATCCCCTAGGAGATGGGAGGGGAGGGGAGAAATTCCTTTGAGCTGGAGCAGTAGATTAGGGGTAGAGTGACTTGGAAGATGGTCAATGAGTGCAGGGGAGTGGGGAACAGAAAGGGAGGGTTTTCGGTCTGGAAGTCAGTGTTGGCTACGATGGAGTCGGACTTAGAATGTCGTGCTTAATAAATGGGAGTTTTTTTCATCAAAGACTTTGTTTGAAATTTATTTGAGACAACCTCGAAACCTGACAATTTGTGGACTTCAACTCCCAGAATTCCCCCAGGTGGCATGGGAGGTTAAGAAATTCTGGGAGCTGAACCCCACACATCTTAAAATAACCAAGGTTGAGAAGCACTGACCTAGCCCATTAAGCAATATCACATATTAATCATGATACAGCTCTTCCATCTGAAAACTACCATAGCCATACTATCTTGCCAATTCTAAATCACATCACGTAACTTGAGGTTTCACTCACCTTTATGCCCAAAATTGGATTAAAACTCACAGTCTCCAGATTTCTTGCCTACTGCTTAACCAGAGTGGCTCTCAGTTAAAAATGTACAATCCAAAGCTTAGACAGTAAAGCCTGCCTCCATCCACCTGCATCATAGATATTACTTTCCCCTTTGGAAGAGCAAAAAACTAGTTAAAATCTGTCCAACAACTATCCATGACAGGAAGGGGCATTGTATATACATGTATGAATAAGTGTGTGCATTTGTGTATGCATGCATGTAATGCATGTAGTAGGCATGTATTCATGTATTAATAGGGAGCTGAAAATAATATTTCCTCTCCTTCCCATGCTTCCTCTGATGTTAGTATGGGAGCACAAAACATTTCAGCCTCATAGTTTTCAATTTGCAAATAGTTGTTTTGAGTGTGAAACAATCAAATGTGGATTTTGAAAATGTTGTTTTAAGGTTGGAACAAAGCATCATATAACTTGAGGTTTCACTCACCTTTATGGCCAAAATTGGATTAGAACTCACTTTCTCCAGATTTCTTGCCTACTGCTTAACCACTACTCCAGAGTGGCTCTCAGTTTAAAATGTACGCTCCAAACATTTAGACAGTAAACACTGCCTCCATCCACCTGCATCATAGATATTACTTTCCCCTTTGGAAGAGCAAAAAACTAGTTCAAATCTGTCTAACAACTGTCCATCTACCAAGAGTGAATGTTCCCAGTCCATGTCACTAGGGCATTGTGTGCAATCTATTTTAATTTCTTTTTATTTCTCTTTTATTTTTTGCACTTCACGTTTAACACCTAGGGGCAAGGATCCTGAGAATTCCTGATCAATTAATCACACGAGTTTGCGGTAATGAATTATTTGGTGGAAATGTTTTAAGCCCTCATATGAACGAATAAATTATTCTGAAGAGAAAAATTAATGGCTGCCTTTAGTGATGAAAGCATACCCTAAACAGCCATCATCTTTTTAGAAAAGGCATGTAAGAAATCTGAATGCTCTTTCCACTATTATTTTTCCATAAAATTAAATTATTTTCAGAAAAGTAAAAAATGTCATTGTTATGGTGCATAATGTTACATGAAAAATACTTTTATTCTGCAAACTGACATTTAATGTTTACTGAAACACAGTTTTATTTTTTTGAACAAAACATACATGAATGATATATTTTTAAAAAATAATAATAAAAATATTTCATTCCTTTTACTGTTGAGATGTTTGAGCCATTAGTAACTAATATCATATTATAGCACATAGCAAATTTCATATATGGTTACGAAAAATTGTATCCAATGAGTGCAGAACAAATTGTCAACAGGCAAATGTAAGATTTTACATAGTGTCAAATGATTCAAGTAAAAGCAGCAACAAAAGCAAGGAAATACCAACATGCTCATATTTATACACAGATACAATTATGTTAACAAGAAAAAAAATAAGGAAACAAAAAAGAAGGGGCCATCATAAACAAAAATATTATAACTTGCTTGAAAGACTTTTGCTTGTTACTTTCAACAAAAATGAAAAGGGAAAGGAATTCCATAGCTGGAAAATGCATATCAACAGACCATTTATGCAAAATCGGGAGTAAGTTTATCCTTCCAGTCAGTGGTGAAATCCAAATTTTTTTACTACCGCTTCTATGGGCGTGGCTTCGTGGGCGTGGCAGGGGAAGGATACTGCAAAATCTCCATTCCCACCAGGGGTGGGTTCTATCTACTTTTACTACCAGTTCGCAATGGGGCCATTGCTTCGCGCACACATACTCTTCTGCGCATGTGCAGAAGCATTCTGATGACATCGGAGTCGGTGGGCGGAGCCTCCTGCCAATTTTTCTACCGGTTCTATAGAACCTGTCTGAACCGGGGGCAACCCACCACTGATTCCCACCCCACTCCAGGGGAAGGATACTGCAAAATCTCCATTCCCTCCCCACTCTGGGGCCAGCCAGAGGTGGTATTTGCCGGTTCTCCAAACTACTCAAAATTTCCGCTGCCAATTCTCCAGAACCTGTCAGAACCTGCTGGATTTCCCCCCTGCTTCCAGTATTGTATCTTAATTTCTTTGTCCAATGCACAAACATCTACAATTCTTTATATCTTCACTGAATCAAAAGACTAAGAATAAAGCCAGGAAGTACACAGGCATCTTTGCTATGGAACAATTGATCTCAACTCATCTTAACAATCTTGTGCATTTCAGCCCCAAATGTAGCAATTAGAGGACAAAGCTAAACTTTTAGATGTTCTGTGATAGTGAAATTCTAACCAGCAAAGAAGCAAAAACACGCTGATCTATAGAAGTATTTGGAGTCCAATTTTCAATCAGCTGATCCATAGCCTTCCTTTTTAAAGAAATGTACATTATTCCAGAATGTGGTATCCATTGCTGTAATGGCAGGAAGGGGCATTGTATATACATGTATGAATAAGTGTGTGCATGCATGTAATGCATGTAGTAGGCATGTATGTATATATTAATAGGGAGCTGAAAATAATATTTTCCCTCCTTCGCATGCTTCCTCTGACATCAGTATGGAAGCGCAAAACATTTCAACCTCATAGTTTTCAATCTGCAAATAGTTGTTTTGAGTGTGAAACAATCAAATGTGGATTTTGAAAATGTTGTTTTAAGGTTGGAACAAAGCACTGATCTGTCCCAAATGTGAAACATATCAAGCCAACTCTAAGGATTGCAGCTGGGCTCTGGATTTTGTGACTTGTGAATACTTTTAGAGAAGATTTTCCCAGCCTAACTTGTACGGCAATAGTACGAGTTCAAGAGCTGAAAAATATTATATTGAAAAATACCCCCAAAAATTCTAGATTGGATTGATCTACTCTATTGAATTCTGATATGAGCATGTACACAGTCTATGTGTACTTTTAGGACTGACTGTTAAATATTAGTTATTAAGAAGATCAGCAACCTTTTTCTTTTGCAGCTAGTAATAATCCCTATAAACAACTTCAGTGAAAGTTAAGATAATCAGAGTCAACAATATTGCTTTAGGGTGCCTGATAGATCTTCTTCTTCTCCTTCTTCTCCTTCTTCTCCTTCTTCTCCTCCTCCTCCTCCTCCTCCTCCTCCTCCTCCTCCTCCTCCTTCTCCTTCTCCCTCTCCCTCTCCCTCTCCCTCCTCCTCCTCCTCCTCCTCCTCCTCCTCTTCCTCCTGTTTTACCATTCCAGGTATCAAGGGAGATACAGAATTCTGGTTCTTGCTCTTCTGGTGGCCTCAACCATTTTTATTTGATGCTGTTATAGTGTGTCTTTGATGTTGTCTCTCCATCTTCTTCAGGTCCTGCCTTGTGCCCTTTGACCTTCTCCTCTTTTTGCATATGTCTCAAGACATTCTCTCCAGGTGAGTAAACTGCATCATTTGCTGTTTTTGTATATAGTTTAAGTTTGATAGGTAGTTTCAAAAAGAGTCATGTTTTTCTATGACTCCATCTGCTATCAAAATGGAGTTTCCATGCCTGTTGGCCAAGAAGATGATTTTTACTCCTCCTCTTCCCCCCCCCCCACATCTAAATGTTAAAATAACTTTATAGGGGAAAAGTCCCAAGCATTCTTCATCTGAAATTTGATCCTTCAAATGGAGTCAGCATAGATCGGCATGCCACCAATTCTGGTCTTGAATGGAAAACAAGAAAGCAGCAGCTCGTATCAAGTTCCCATTGTTTCTAATTCTTGGAACAATAAAAACATTTTGAGTTTTGCTTTAATAAAATATAACTGACTCAAGACATTAAGACAGAAATGTTTGAGTGAGCTGTTTTGTTCCAAGCTCAGAACAAAACTCATTTCTTTCATACAGAGATGATTTTTATAGCTCAGTTCTATAGTAGTCCTAATTTCCTAAACAAGAGATGGAAGACTTGTTCTGGATAGCTCTCAACAAGAAAACTCTGGGTGCTATTGAGAAAAAGTATCCTTTTTTAAAAAAATCATTAAAAACATTCAATCTGATGAAGATGCTTTTGAGATTTAGTTCAAAGGAAAAGAGAATTTTGATGGCATTTGTTGTGAGTGGAAAATGATCTCCTTGAACTTATTTAGGAGGAAGTGTGGATGCTGAGACTTGCACTGCATAGCCCTCTTTTGAGGAATGTCCATTGCTGACATCTAATGTTCCCATCCTACAAGAAGAGATCAGGAGGAATTCTTTCCCTTGGGACTTTTTCAGAACAGGAAGTATAGACAGCTAAGAAAAAGAATAAACTTAAATGCAAAGGAATACAACAGAAAGGAGGGGGGGACATTCAACAGAAGCATCTTTGTCTTCTCCAGAAACAAATACTGTCAAAAGAAGTTCCACAGAAATTCTCAAAAGCACCTTGAGTATAAAACACGAAAATCTCTTTTTGCGGGAGAGAGAAACATTGGAGAATTTGCAACGCTGATTTCAACATGTAATAAAGATCATATCACAGAAACTCCCTATATTTAAGTGATAAGTTTAGGAACCTTTAGCTGCTGATACAGTTCTACAGAGGAATTATTGAGTCTGTCATCTGCACCTCCATAACTGTCTGGTTTGGCTCTGCAACCCAACAAGACAGATATAGATTTCAAAGGATAATTAGAACTGCAGAAAAAACAATTGCTACCAACCTGCCTTCCATTGAGGATCTGTATACTGCACGAGTCAAAAAGAGGGCTGTGAAAATATTTACAGACCCCTCACATCCTGGACATAAACTGTTTCAACTCCTGTGTCCTCAAAACGACACTATAGAGCACTGCACACCAGAACAACTAGACACAAGAACAGTTTTTTCCCGAATGCCATCACTTTGCTAAACAAATAATTCCCTCAACATTGTCAAACTAGTTACTAAGTCTGCACTACTATTAATCTTCTCATCGTTCCCACCACCCATCTCCTTCCACTTATGACTGTATGAATGTAATTTTGTTGCTTGTATCCTTACGATTTATATTGGTATTGTTTCCTGATTGCTTATTTGTACCCTATGACTATCATTAAGTGTTGTACCTTATGATTCTTGACGAATGTATCTTTTCTTTTATGTACTCTGAGAGTGTATGCACCAAGACAAATTCCTTGTGTGTCCAATCACACTTGGCCAATAGAAAATTCTATTCTATTCTATTTTGTTATTCTATTTATTCTAGATTAGTGCCAACGCCCTCTGAAATTTCCCATGTGCTTGGCAATAACAAGAACGACAACTAATTCTTTCCATTGCAAACCATTCTTCTGATTTTCTCCGTTCTCTCCCCCTGTACATCTTTCCAATCTCTTTTCTTCGTCTTCTTCTTCTGTTGTCGTATTTTCTGTTCCCCTTAGGGCTGCCTCAATTGGTGTTGCCCTTCCAAATAAACACTGAGAAATTTAAAAAGCTCTGATTTAGTTAATGCATTCTAGGATTTCTCTCTCGTCCGAACCCAGAAGGACCCAGAGATCAGAAGGAAGTGGGGTAGGGTGTGTGTGGGAGGAGGCTTGGGAAATGTGTTGGAGAAAGAGAAGGAAGAAGACCACCCGTTCCTCCCTGTCCCCCTCCCCCAAAAATTGTATTTCAGTGCATTTTTCATACTTCTGTCTGAGCTGCACTATCTCCGGTTAGACTCATAAAAAATATTGTACCTTTAAAAAAAATGTACTTGAAACTATTGATTTCTACTGCACTGAAGCCTCTGACATTCAGATGCAGGAAAGTTATTGCTATGGACCCTGTGTGCATCCTCATACTTCTCCTCTGCTTGCACAGGTCTCCAAGGATGGTATTAAAGATATTGTAGCTCCCACTTCCTAACTCTGGGATATCAGAGGGATTCTCCTGTGTAAAGAATAATTATCAGCACTGCTGTTACCTCTAGTAAGTGTGTAATTACATGCTCTGTTTTTGCGGGCTTGTGGGCTGTGCAATTTTGAATTATAACCATAATGTCAAAGACTGGCCACCCCCACCTCCTCCTCCTCCCGGCTCGTTACTTCTTACCTTGAGAAAAAATAAATCAAAATAGCTAGGATTTTTCTTTTCTTTTTTTTTTTTCTTCTTCTTCCTTTTGCAGAGAAAAAATAAATTAGCAAAAGAGGATTCATGGATATGTGCTTTTTAAGAAAGGGATGGAAAGGAAGGAAGCAAGAGACTCGCTGCCAGCCAAAATTATACACCCGTGATGGCGAACCTTTGGCACGCTGCCAGAGGTGGCATGCAGCACCTTCTCTGTGGGCACGTGAGCCATCGCCCCAGTTCAGCTCTGCCACACACTCACCTCCCACTGGCCAGCTGGACTTCGGGTCGCTGCCGTGCATGTGTTGGGGATGGGGCATGTGCGGGGGGGGGGCATGCATGCATGCGAAGGGGGGCAGGGTGCATGTGGGGGCCCTGCACATGCATTGCATTTTGGGGGTTTGGGCATATGAGAATTTGCACCCCTGCATGTACACTTTGGGCACTCGGTCCGGAAAAGGTTAGCCATCCCTGTTATACACTAAATCCAACAGAAGGAAAAAAGGAGAAAATTAGCATCGTTAGAAGAAAGATGGGACAAGGGTCCATTTCAAGATACTTGCGTTGTAAAGACAAGGTAAAAGAGCCTTGGTGGTGCAGCAGACTAAAGTGCTGTTAAATAGCACCAGCTGCCTGCAATTACTGCAAATTCAAATCTTACTAGGCTCAAGGTTGACTCAGCCTTTCATCCTTTCGAAGATAGGTAAAATGCGGACCCGGATTGTGGGGGCAATAAGCTGACTTTGTATAAAAAAGAACACCGCTTAGGGGAGGGGCAAAAGCCCTACTAAGCAGGTTATATACAAAAGTATGAAGGCTATTGCTTAACGCATTGTAAGCCGCCCCGAGTCTCTGGAGAAGGGCGGGATATAAATCAAATAAATAAATAAATAAATAAATAAATAAATACATACATACATACATACATACATACATACATACATACATAAGGGGAGAGAAATGATGTCAGCTTAACATAGTAGCCCAGACAAGAAGCAAGACCAGATTGACTAATTCTAGTTTATTGTAAGGCTACATTACTGAATCTTGTAAGTCTGAAAATATATCACTTTTACAAGCCTAGAAATTAGGGAGAGTCCCTTTTTAGATGTTTCCCACATTCATTTTGCGCATCAAGTTGCCTATGGTCTCCCCTTACCTTTGGCTGTGCCTCTCTTTTCCTTGCTTCTCAAGGTCAACCCAACCTATCATTACAATATCAGACTATCTCTGAGTGTTGGCCCCAAGATCAGGAACCAAAATTCAACATCCAGTTTTGCTGGTCAGGCCGGGTAGATGGACAGTTTTTTCCACGCAGGCACTCACCTACTCAGCTGACTGTTGTTTATTGGAAGGTGTTTTTGATACTGGCCCTGATTGGCCAAAAAGATGGCATGCTTATTTTTCCACGCTTGTTCTCCTGAGTGGGCTTTAATTATGATATGCTAATTGAAGCCTTTTAACAATCTCCTTAATTACTTGTTTTGTTCTTTCTTCAATGTTTTTGGCAGAGAGAACAATATGGACATGCAAGAAAAAATGTTGGGAGGTGGCCAGAAGATGGCGGTCAGCAGATGACAACCACTCAAAATTGAAGAGATTGTGAAATATAATAGAAGAAGAGACAGTACATATGTTATTGTATAGACCTGTATTGCGCTCTCTCTCTCTCTCTCTCTCTCTCTCTCTCTCTCTCTCTCTCTCTCTCTCTCTCACACACACACACACACACACACACACACCAAATATGTATCAAATATGTATATTTTAAATTGCTTAAGCCATCCCCTCTAGGTTGCCCACTAAGTTGACAATAGCTGGGAAACCCAAACAAACTAGATATTACCTTCCTATTTTGTTTTTTCCCCAAATACACTGATTACCAAAGGCCTTTCACCCAACTGTTTGTGGAACTGGGCCTAGCAACTCTTTTTATAAGAATAGGGGTATTCATAAGATACATTCAGTCATCGGATCATTTCCTCAATTTTAGACTGCTGATATGAGGAGTAGACATGACCAGACCATACTATTGGATCAAATAAGAGCCAGCCTCCCACAAAAAAATGATTTTAACTCCTTCAGAACTGAAGAACCTTCTTGATGAGAAGAGAAACGTCTTCAAAGAAAAACAAAAAAAGTTCAGTTGCCTTTTGAAAAAGCACCTTTGGGACTCCTTCGTGCTTTCCTGACTAAGGGTGGAATTGAACACGGCTTTCCTCAGCCCTAGTTAAATGCCTCAATACCTCAAACACCATACCACCCTCTCTATTGATCTGGCTGTGCTTGGATGAAGGGAGGGATCCTTGAACAAATCAGGGTCAAGAGATGAAGGCTGACATAATTTTGGGGGAGGGGAAACATTTGATAGAAGGGATCCATTATAAAGAAAAAGAATATCCCCCTTTTCTATTCCTACAAAAGAAAAAGAATAACACATACGAATAATAGTCCAACTATTATTGTGGTTTTTCACACAGTTAGTCAGATGTTCAGACTGGATTTGACAATTTTGTCTACCTATCAAGGTCTTCCTAAGCACCTGGGAGAGGCAGATATGAATGTTTGATGGTGTTAGAGGTATCACTGTTATTGTTATTTCAGTTTTGAGGATGCTTGACTCTAGAACAGGGGTGTCAAACTGGATTTCACTGAGGGCCGCATCAGGGTGGTGTTTGACCTCAGGGGGCCGGGGTGGGCATGGCCAGTTTGACATCACTTGTGTTGGGAGCGCCGGTGGTGGTCTGAGTGCTCTGGCAGTAAAAACAGGTTCCCAAGCTAGCTCCGTTTTCAGCTGAGACAGCCTCCTGCAACCCTCTGCCAGTGAAAGTGGAGCTCCAGAGGGCCACCTGGAGCCATTTTTGCTGGCAGAGGCACCACAGGCCGATCCTTCACTGTTTCCAGGGCAGCCCTGCAGGCCAGATCTAACCACTGTCAGGTTTCGAGGTCGTCTCAAATAAATTGCATTTCAAACAAAGTCTTTGATGAAAAACTCTCATTTATTAAGCACGACATTCTAACTCTGACTTCATCATAGCCAACACTGACTTCCTGACCCAAAACCCTCCCTTTCCTTTCCCCACTCCTCTGCACTCATTGGCCATCTTCCAAATCACTCTACCCCTAATCTACTGCTTCAGCTCAAAGGAATTTCCCCCCTCCCATCCCATCTCCTAGGGGATATTATCTCCAGGGAAAATAAGTAGGTGAAAAGTCAAACGTCCCTCTCCAGACGCCTCCGCTTCTCCTTCTTATGTCAGCACTAGAGTAAATGCAGCTTGAAGTACTGACAACCACCCTGTGGGCCCTGAGTTTAGAACCCCTGCTCTAGAACAATTCTGGGCAGCTTACAGTTTAAAATCAGAAAAAGAATAGAGAAAGATTCTGAAGTTTCCAGACATCCGTATCCTATAAAACAAACAAAACACAGACAAAAACCATCCACCTATCACTGATAGGACTCCACAAGCTCCCTCAAGGACCGGGAGAACAGCCACATTTAAAAAGATTTCTAGAACAACATTAGGGTGGGAGCTACATGGATCTCTGTGGGAATATCATTCCAGAGACCAGACACCGTGACTACATTTAGACCAGGGATGTCAAACTCGTATCATCACGGAAGCATCACATGACATATCGGGACTTTTTTTCTCCTTCGCTAAACTGGGTGGGGGCGTGGCCAGCGCGTGACACATCTGGCCCATGGGCCGCCAGTTTGACAGCCCTGATTTAGACAGTTATGCAGCCATAGTAGAAATAAGTAACATCTTCATTTATTGCCATGCTGCTTTATTGGGCCAGTATATCTCACAATATGTCAAATGAAAAGAAATAACAAAAAAGGGACAATAGATGTTATTTATATAGGACTACGGTGTTACTGAATACAGGATACAATGGGCGTCAATCAATCCTTTCAACTTTGCGTATAACAATACAAATAAATTGACTTGATCCAATGCTTTAAAATCAAACAGCAAGGAGAATCTTCAAAATATGGGAAAAATAGAGTAGGCAATTATAAATGTGCAAAGAGAAAGTGCCTTACCAAAAATGACCAAACAGGACACCGATTTGCATGAAAATGTATAGATGCTGATGTACAAATATAGAGGCGTATTTAGAAATCTTTCTTATAAACCCCACACACGTTAAGTATGTTTTGTATTGTAACCAGGTGCCAAATGGCTGGTGGACTTTGTACTAGTAGAAGATTGAGAAAGAAAGAAAATACCATGTTTTATTTTATGTCAGATTTCATCTGTTCTTATTCGTGAAATATATTGAGCTCCTGATGATAGCAATATTCCCATACTTGAGAAGCTGTCACAAAGAACAGGGGTCAAGTTATTGTCCAAAACATCTGAAGCCAGGACAAGAAGCAATGGGAACTAATCAAGGAAAGAAGCAACCTAAAACTAGGGAGAAATCTCCTGACAGTGAGAACAATTAACCAGTGGAAGGACTTGTCCCCAGAAGTTGTGGGTGCTTCAACACTGGAAGTTTTAAAGAAGAGATTGGACACCCATTTGCCCAAAATGGTATAGGGTCTCCTTCTTGGGCAAAGGATTGGATTAGAAGTCCCCTTCTAACTCTGTTATTCTGTACGATCAGTCAACATTACTAATCAGTTCCCATCACACCAGTTTCAATCTCCTTCTACTACAGTCACAAGGTTTTAGGTCAATGCAGAACTTCTGTTTAGAAGAACTGAATGGAGCTGCCAAAATACCTGCATTGTATTCCCTTGTTTTATGCAATGCCATTCAATTGGCTGCCCAACTCACACATAATAACAACATAACTCACACAACTCACCTCTTCTACACGAGCTGCACTGGCTTCCGGTGGCCTTCCGAGTGCGCTTCAAGGTGTTGGTTCTTACCTTTAAAGTGTTCCATGGTTTAGGACCTGAGTACTTACGAGACCACCTGCTGCAACCGATAACCTCCCACCAACCAATACGCTCTCACAGAGTAGGCCTACTCATAGTACCATCATTAAAACAATGTCGTCTAGTAGTTCCAAGGGAGAGAGCCTTGTCTGTGGGGGCACCTACCCTTTGGAACAAAATACCCCCTGGAATACGAATAATCCCAGATCTTCGCACTTTCCGACGTGCCCTGAAGACCCTTCTGTTTCAACAAGCAGGGCTAGCATAAACACCTAAATTCTATGCCAAGGTCTTAGCAGATACACCAAGTTGACTCAATTTATTATTTACTGTTTATTAAAAAAAAAATTATATGTATATGAAATCTTAATCTGTTCACCGCCCTGAGTCCTTCAGGAGAAGGTATAGAAATTCAATAAATAAATAAATAAATAAATAAATAAATAAATAAATAAATAAATAAAATAATGATTCTAGGTGACATACAACATATAAACTCCACAATTAAAGACCCATAACTCCACCATCACCACCATCATTGAGGGGATATTCACCTAACCAACTCTTGCTCTCCCAGTTTTACACTGGGATACTAGGACTAGGAGAAGGGGTCAAACTATAGATAGATCATGCCATGGAGTCTGTCACCATGGTGGGCAGACAAAAGACTTACAATTACTTTCTCGCGTTGTTTTCTTTGGGAGAAAGAAGTGATTGGTTTTCATTGCATAGCTGAGAGGATGGGGCAAAGAGTTATTGGCCAAATAACTGAGCTCTAATTGGCTACAAGTTCTCCAGCTTCTTCTATTGACCAGAAAAAAAATGGCTTTCGACTTGTTCAGGAGTAAACATGTCAATTCTTCTAATGCCTGGAAAATGAATTAGAACAAAGGCTAAAGTCCTGGTTCCCTTTGAACCAGAAGACTTGTGCGACAGAGAAATTGGTCATCACAAAGTACTCTTACTCTTTACATGTTACTCGAGTACCTGTTCCTCCAGGGGTGAAATCCAGCAGGTTCTGACAGGTTCTGGAAAACCGGTAGCAGAAAGTTTGAGTAGTTTGGAGAATCAGCAAATACCACCTCTGATTGGCCCCCAGAGTGGGGTGGGAATGGAGATTTTGCAATATCCTTCCCCTGGAGTGGGGTGGGAATGGAGATTTTGTAATATCCTTCCCCTGGAGTGGGGTGGGAATGGTGATTTTGCAGTATCCTTCCCCTGGAGTGGGGAGGGAATGGAGATTTTGCAATATCCTTCCCCTGGAGTGGGGTGGGAATGGTGATTTTGCAGTATCCTTCCCCTGGAGTGGGGAGGGAATGGGGATTTTGCAGTATCCTTCCCCTGCCATGCCCACCAAGCCACGCCCACCATGCCCACCAAGCCATGCCCACAAAACCGGTAGTTAAAAAAAAAAATTGGATTTCACCACTGTGCTCCTCCATTTTCTAACTATCCTAACGGCTGAAATTCGTGAAAATTCAACCTTCCAGAAATCAGAGAACCGCTTTATTTATTCATATGCTATTTTTTCCCCCTTTTTAAAAAGTTCATTTTAATTTCGAGAAAAAGAAGACGAAGAAGAAAAGCCTTGAATTTGGGGGAACCGATGGAGCTATACTTCTGTTTTTTTTCCTTTCCTCTAACCCCCTGGGTCCTGTTATTTTCCACCAGCTGAGGGCTTGTTCCCAAGATAATGAATACACTGAAAAGTAATGCCATATAACATGTGATCATACCAGGCATTCTCTTGCTACTATAAAATCGAAGATGTTTGCATAACCCTTTGAGACCGTCCTAGAGACTTTTAAGAAAGAGAAAACCATCGGGGAACTATAGAACTTATTGCCTAGGTCTGACACATTTAGCAGGCATAAAAATACATTTGTTTGTTTGTTTGTTTACCCACAAGCTTTATTTATTGCCTCAGTTCAGGAGTGGAGGCAACGTGCACCCTCCGCATTAATTTTAAAAACCAATACAATTCAATAATAAAAACACACAAAGAACTATGAATGGGAACTATTTGTATTAATTATTAATAAGTGCTATTCATGGCGCTGGTGATTCTCTGCTGATCACACACACACACACACACACACACACACACAATCTTGCATAAAAGCCTGGGTTTTTTTAAACAAGCATCCTTTTCTAAGTGTGTATGGATGTGCATTATCCAAAACACCGCACTGACATCTACCATTTTCGGAAATGTTCAAGGTAGGGGAAGAATGAGCAAACTTGGTTGCTTTGGCCAAGCAGGAGGTAAACCCAGTTAAGGCTCAAGAACAGTAGACATTGAGACAACTCTAACGATCATGCAGAGCAATGGTGAAATCCAAATTTTTTTACTACCGGTTCTGTGGGCGTGGCTTGGTGGGCATGGCAGGGGAAGGATACTGCAAAATCTCCATTTCTACCCCACTCCAGGGGAAGGATACTGCAAAATCCCCATTCCCTCCCCACTCCTGGGAAATCTTACTGCAAAATCCCCATTTCCTCCCAACCAGTTGGGACTTGGGGGCGGGGCCAGTCAGAATTTTATTACCGGTTCTCCGAACTACTCAAAATTTCCGTTACCAGTTCTCCAGAAGTGGTCAGAACCTGCTGAAACCCACCTCTGCTCCATTCCCACCCCACTCCAGGGGAAGGATACTGCAAAATCCCCATACCCTCCCCACACCTGGGGGAAGGATATTGCAAAATCTCCATTCCCACCCCACTCTGGGGCCAGCCAGAGGTGGTATTTGCCAGTTCTCCGAACTACTCAAAATTTCCACTACCGGTTCTCCAAACTGCTCAAAATTTCCGCTACTGATTCTCCAGAACCTGTCAGAACCTGCTAGATTTCACCCCTGAGGCAGAGGTATGTAACGGTAGGAAAAGGATGGATGTACCCTGCTCCCACCTTTAAGCAAAGTTCTAACTCTAACATAAGATTTCCCAAAACTTGGCAACTTGAAGAGACGTGGACTTCAGCTTCCAGAATTCCCCAGCCAGTTAGGCTGGCTAGGGAATTCTGGAAGCTGAAGTCCACATGTCTTAAATTTGCCAAGGTTGGGAAACTCTGTTCTAGCATTTTAAATCCTTTCTAGATAGGAGGCTCAGTGATCTGTTGGGAAGACCTTCACTCAGACCTTCACAATAATCTTCTGCCAAGCCATGACAAATATTAGCCAACATTTGTTAAACAAGCTATCATGGTTTGTCTTTAGCCTTGCACCTAATCAGTTATGGAAACTTGAGCCACAAAAATTTAATTCATACCTTGTTCTATATCTAGCTACTGTTAAGTCACAGCGCTACATGG